GATTCCAATTCATAGCTATTGTATATAACAGAAGAGGATGGCGCAAACTCTGAGTAAGCCAAATAAAACACACCCTCTGGAAGTCAGTTCAGCCTCTGAAGTAAGGGGACCTTACAAAGTTCATACAAAGTACATACAGCGTCTCAGAAACCTGACTACGATAGGAGATCAGGGTGATACTACATTTGAAACACTCTTTCCTAACTTTGATTTTCATTCTATAACAAGTGAATTTTCATTTCATTTGGATCCACAATCAATGCCTACAGAAACAGCCATCAAGAAATCAAACAATTATAGCACTGGGAAAATCTGCTGCAAAAGATCCCTTCAAAGTTTTAAAAAGCAAGATGTCACTTTGAGGACTAAAGTACTCCTGACCCAAGCCAGGTCTGATGAATATGAATATGGTATGAATATGAATGGCCTCAAATGCATGAGGAAGCTGGACAAATGAATAAGGAACACTGAAGAAATGATGCTTTGACTTATGGTGTTGGCAAAGAATATTCAACGTACCATGGACCACCAGAAAAGTGAGCAAATCTGTCTTGGGAGAAATACAACCAAAATGCTCCTTAGAAGTGGGGATGGCAGACTTCATCCCACGTACATTGGACATGTTATCAGGAGGGACCAGTCCCTAGAGAAGGGCATTATGCTTGGTGATGTAGAGGGTCAGTGAAAAAGAAGACCCTCAACAAGATGGATTAACATAGTGGCTGCGACACTGGGCTGAGACATAGAAATGACTAAGAGGATGGTGCAGGACTGGGCAGTGTTTCATTCTGTTGAACAAGGGTGGCTATGTGTCAGAACCAACTTGATGGCACTGAACAACAACTGCACACATTGCTATGAAAGTTGGATCCCCCACTGTTCCAGCAGTTGGAAATTGATCACCTGTCACATGTCAATCAACTCAGCAGCACCTTCAGCCCTGAGATGATTCTGGAAGAAACTTTTGGACCATCAGAGAAAGATTTACTTTTGTTTGATTCTACCTCTCTTATTAATTGCACTTGATTGCATATTCATTCTCTGGGAAGTGGTAGCCCACGTTATGTGGAATTTCAC